CCGTACTGCCCTTGCCCTGCCTCACCACTGTGCTACCCAGGTCCTGGTGCGCCTGAGAGCTACACACAGGGATAGGGATGGCTGTACTTCATGCCAGGCATCCCCTTTGCATCCAGGGATGGCAGGACTAGCCACATGCACCACGGCCCAGGTTGCCCCCTACGCCTTGGCTGGGTGGGACTGAGGAACCCACCGCAGGCCAGATGGAATTACTTGGTGGGCCAAATCTGGCTTGTGGGCTGTACTTTGCCCACCTTTGCTTTAGTTCTTTGTCAAACTTTCTTTAAGCACAGCATCCTGTTGAAACTTTAACTCTTGAAATGAAAAATTAGGGCAACATTTTGTTGCTCACAGAAATCAGGAACAGAGGAGTAAAAGCTGTGAGAGCCAAACATAATTCAGACCCAAGCTGAACAAGCCTTCCTAAACAGCTTAGCCAAAGCCCATATAGTCTAAACTAATTGAAGGTCAATAGTGACAATGCAAAGCTAAATTAGCAACACAAGCACACAAGTGATGAAAATTATTTAATGGTTTAAAAATATATCCATTCTAGCCAGTTGGAAGCCTACTCCCTGTTAGCTCATTCACAGGGGATAGATGTCTTTGAAACATACCTTTAAAAATTAATATTGAGATAAATGTAGCCCTCACATTTCTAAGGTCAGATTCAGAATGTGGACAGGCTCAGCAAGTGGGCGGACGTGAATCTGATGGTGTTCAACGCCAATAAATGCAAGGTTCTCCACCTTGGGAAAAAAACCCCACAGCATCCTTATAGGCTCGGCAGTGCTATGTTGGCTAGCACTATGGAAGAAAGAGACTTGGGGGTCATCATTGACCACAAGATGAACATGAGCCTGAAATGCGATGCGGCGGCTAGTAAAGCGACCAAAACGCTGGCTTGCATCCATAGATGCTTCTCAAGCAAATCCCGGGACGTCATTCTCCCCCTGTACTCGGCCTTAGTGAGGCCGCAGCTGGAGTACTGTGTCCAGTTTTGGGCTCCACAATTCAAAAAGGATGTGGAGAAGCTTGAGAGAGTCCAGAGAAGAGCCACATGCATGATCAGAGGTCAGGGAAGCAGACCCTACGATGCCAGGCTGAGAGCCCTGGGGCTCTTTAGCCTGAAAAAGCGCAGGCTCAGGGGTGATCTGATGGCCACCTACAAGTTTATCAGGGGTGACCACCAGTATCTGGGGGAACATTTGTTCACCAGAGCGCCCCAAGGGATGACGAGGTCGAATGGTCACAAACTACTTCAAGATCGTTTCAGGCTGGACATAAGGAAGAATTTCTTTACTGTCCAAGCCCCCAAGGTCTGGAACAGCCTGCCACCAGAGGTGGTTCAAGCGCCTTCATTGAACACCTTCAAGATGAAACTGGATGCTTATCTTGCTGGGATCCTATGACCCCAGCTGACTTCCTGCCCTTTGGGCAGGGGGCTGGACTCGATGATCTTTCGAGGTCCCTTCCAGCCCTAATGTCTATGAAATCTATGAAATCCTAGTTGCACTTAAATAGCCATAAAAAAGTGGTTGGGATAGTTGAAGGATAGAACAATTAAAGGGAGAAAAAATAAAGACAGACTTCTACTTTTCCGCATCAGCCAACTGAGCTGCCCACATGTGGCAGTGGCCTCAGACATGGTCAATAACTGAAACACCACAATGACAAATGCAGACTAAATTAAGACAGTATGTGCTTAAGCTCCCATGTTGCTGCAAGCAGTGGCATGGGAAAGTAGATAAAGTCTGTTGGTCAAAGCCACTAGTATTGGGCGAGGCCAGGTGCACATAATGGCTTTTTGCAATAATAGAGGTAACAGCTGTAACAAATTAATTTTTATCTTTTGATAAGAAGAATTGACTTACATACATCTAGTTAGAATCCTATGAAATGATAATATGTTTTTGTTGAACGAACATGGCAAGGTGGAGATGTATAATTACTTGTTGCCAACCTTGATCACTTTCAAGGGACCTATGCCAAGCTAAAAAGTGTGGGTAAAGCAGAAGGCCCCAAAAGCCTGCCTGAGTGGCCACAAAGTGAACCTTTGCAGATGTGACAACTAGCTTGATCAGCAAAGAAAAGTAAGTAACGTATCCAGCCAAACCAGATCAGATAAATCAGAGCACAAAGCCTGAAAGAAGACTTTATAAAGAAACCCTTAAATTAGAAAATCCAAACATGGTATATCGTAGCTTTATCTTATAGTGTGGCAGACTTACCAACTTAGCCCAGCTCGAACGGGCTTCAGGAATCTTCGTTTTGATTGGTGGAGCCCATCTATTAGGGGTGCACAAAGCTGGCCGTATTCGATTCAGATTTGGCCCAATTCAGGGGGCAGTGATTTGATTAGTTGATTTGGATCACTGTCCCAACTTCAATTTGGCCAAATCTGAATCTGCAGATTCAATTCTGATTCAGAGAATCAGCGATTCGGCCATAGACACAGCTTTATATGCTTTTTCTACATACATCAAGGTACCAGATGTGGCTTGTAAACACTGAGATGGTGGGGCGGATGCAGTGTCCCGCCGGAGCGCAGGGGGAGCCCCCTGCGTGCTCTGTGGCAGAACCCCCGTGCCCTTCCTGCTTGGCAATTAGCTGTGGGGGTACCCTGGGTCCCCCCCCGACCCAGGAGGCACCAGTTGCCAAGCCAGGGACTGGGGGGGGGGGGTCCCCTGCGCACTCTGTGGTGGACCTGGAAGTGGACCAGAAGTCCTTCTGGTCCACTTTTGGGTCGGCCACCAAGCATGCTTGGGACCCCCCCCCACGCTCCTGTGGGATGCTCCATCTGTCCCACCTTCTCAGTGTTCATGTGCCACCTGGTACCTAAGCTATGTTGAAAAAACAAATAATGCTGTATCTAAGTCTGAATCATCAAATCTCTCTGAATCAAATTGGAGGCTTCTGATTTGATTCAGACTCAGAGATTTGGTTGCTGAATTGGGCCAAATCTCTGCTGAATTGAATCAGTGACCAAAACTTCGCACAGCCCTACTGCCCACCAATCAGGTAAGGGTTGGGTGAGGCTGGCCCCACCCTGCCCCCTACACAGGGTGGGGAGGGGCAAGGAGCCTCCTGGACTTGATTGAAGCCTGCATTCTGCAGGTCTGGCAAGGCTTCGGGGGCAGAACCTCCAAAGTGAGTAAAAGAAACTGCATGCTCAGCATGCAGCAGACCCGTTGGGGGAATGGAGAAGGAAGAAGGGGCCAAGAGCTGGGGAAAAGCTGCCCAGTGGGTGAAGCAGCACCCAGAATATCCCTGAAGACTCCCCTCACCGGGACTGATGTCACAGCCACATTGGTGTGGTCAGCGCACAGGACATAGACCTAGAGGCTGCTTGAGGCAGTCCAGGTCTGCATTCCCTGGCAGGCAGCCAGGGTGCAATGCAGAGATCACTGCATGGAGCTCAGACCCTGGGAGCTGTTTGAGGCAGCTTGGGTCTTCAACCTCTGGCAGGCAGCTGGGGCACGGTGCAGAGATCGCTGCATGCAGCTCAGACCCTGGGAGCTGCTTGAGGCAGCTTGGGTCTTCAACCTCTGGCAGGCAGCCGGGGCATGGTGCAGAGATCACTGCACGGAGCTCAGACCCTGGGAGCTGCTCGGGGCAGCTCGGGTCCATAACCCTTGGCAAGCGGCCAAAGGGCACAGTGCAGAAGTCACTGTGTGGAAGATCCAGAAGCAGATCAGGGCTCTGGAAGCCGCTTTGGGTGGCTCGAGCCCCATTCCCTGGCACATGGCCAGGTAACTGATGCAGGCCACGTCAGGCCACAGGGTCCAAGAGCTGATTGAGCCCTGGTGCAGCACGAGGTGGCCAGGGCCTCCAACCTATCTGGGCAGAAGGAGGCGGCTGCAGTGGACTGCTGCACAGCGAGAGAGAGAGCCCAAGCAGTGAAAGGCCACCCCAGTGATGATAGGAGTTGTGAGTTGTAGGGGAGAGGGTCTTCAGCAGGGGAGTGAACCCTTGGAAGGGGAGACAACAGGGGCCTTGCAGGATAAGGGTCCTGACCCTACGCAAGAGGGGTAGGAGGACCTGGAACCTTGTGCCTCTGCCTGATGAGTAGCAGCAAGGGCTCCCATCACAGAACTGGGCAGTTATCGCTCAAGGTTCTCACTGGACAAAGGGATTAGTTGGCCTCTTGAAAAAACATTCCCTTTTTTACTCAGATGTGTGGTATATATCAATTGGTTTGCAAAGCAGGATTGGCAGATTTAAACAGAAAAAACTCTATGCCTAGGCAAGCGAAGGCTTACCAGGACATCATTTGCACAACTGTTTTATTCAGTGATTTGGCATTTTCACATGTAGATTCCGATGAACCCATTTCTGCTTCTATCCCCAGCCCTAAGATATCAGGGGAAATGCACTTCTGCCACAAGTTATTTTTTCTGAAGATGAGATCACAGGTAAAATATATCCCAAGTAATAGGGAAAATTTTAATAGGCATAAAGGAACCCACATCCCATTGAATGAAATGAACTTGCAATATTAGGATCTGAATTTCTCTAAAATCTGAGGTGTTTGAAACCAAAGTTTTGGCTCATTCTGTTTTAGAAGAAAGGGCCAGTGACAGAGGTTAGGTCCAGATGTAGTTTTATATGGTAACTTGACCTGGGAGCATAGTTCAGTCTCATGTCTGTTATTTTGTTTCTGCACAGCAATTTGAAGATATGCTATATAAGTGTTAAGTATTTGACTAATCACCTGTTCCTAGAAATGGACTGAATCTGTTATATAGAATGAAATACACTTTTCATTATCCTGAAAAACAGTTAACCTTCTCAGCCAAGAAGGCAGGGCTGGCATATTCAGCTCAAGGTCAGCAGAAGAGTTCCAATTACGTCTTTACTTTGACACAGAAGCATAGCTGAAAGCAGACAGTCAATGAACCAAATCTTGGTATTATGCTGCACACATCGAACTGCTGAATTAATCAGCAGGCTTTCCTTCTATTTATTATTATTCTCTGACTTCCTTAATTTTCACTTACCTGAAAGTCAGAAGCCCGAGTGCCTCCAAAGGGTTAGAAAATCTCCAATTCTTTAACACTGCATACATTTCCGAGATGGCCTTTCGATCCCAGCTGGGTGCACTGCCCAAGACCAAAGGAAGGGAGCAATTTTCATTATTGCAATAGGAACGATAAAACCATAAGAATCTTCTCTTTTGCTCTGAGAGTCTGGAAAAGAAGATTAGAAATTCAGTTTGAAATTAAAACCACCTGAAGCTTTGTGTTGAAGCAAACTTCATTGTATAGGGGGAGCAACTCATCTAGTTCATGGCTTTCTAGCTAAATACCTGTTCTCCTTGGGGTGGGATATCATTTTCTGCACACCAGCTCTTATAAAGGAGATATATATATATATATATATATATATATACACACACACACACACACACACACACACACACACACACACTGGATGCGCCAGCCTTGCGTAATATACAAATGAAATGCCAAAGAGAGATGCAAATACAGTTATTTTATTTTTCAATCTCTCTCTCATTTTTTCTTTTTCCACATTCTCTTAAGTGTGTGCAATTTTGGCTAAATAAATGACTAGCATATCCAGTTGCTCTAACCATCTCTAACTGTTGTAATGTGTAAATAGCTAGTCAACTCTCACTCTAACAATCCTTGTTATTGATTAACTCAGGTGATAGCATGCATGTAAATCTATGATAGAAGCTTTTAAAATAATGTGTTCCCAGTGTAGCCTGATACCTGCATGTGCAAGGAGAGACTGATTGTCCTTAAAGTCACAGTGATTACTGTGGGCTGCCAAGCAGCTCCCTTTCAAATATTTTCCACAGGCCATACCTGTGGAACAACCACATACAATACTCCAGGTATGAGGCAGAGAGTCGTGGTGGATGGGTCGGTTTCGACCTGGAAGGGTGTGGGCAGTGGGGTCCCGCAGGGCTCGGTCCTTGGACTGATACTCTTTAATGTCTTCATCAGCGACTTGGACGAGGGAGTGAAGTGTACTCTGTCCAAGTTTGCGGATGACACAAAGCTATGGGGAGAAGTGGACGCGCCGGAGGGCAGGGAACAGCTGCAAGCAGACCTGGACAGGTTGGACAAGTGGGCAGAAAACAACAGAATGCAGTTCAACAAGGAGAAATGCAAAGTGCTGCACCTAGGGAGGCATACCTACTGCCTAGGAAATGACCTGCTGCGTGGCACGGAAGTGGAAAGGGATCTTGGAGTCCTAGTGGACTCCAAGATGAACATGAGTCGGCAGTGTGACGAAGCCATCAGAAAAGCCAATGGCACTTTATCATGCATCAGCAGATGCATGACGAATAGATCCAAGGAAGTGATACTTCCC